CTGCCTGCCTGCAGGACCCTCGCTCCAGGTGAGTGGTGAGTCTGCCTGCCTGAAGGACCCTCACTCCTGGTGAGTGGTGAGTCTGCCTGCCTGCTGGACCCTCACTCTTGGTGAGTGGTGAGTCTGCCTGCCTGCTGGGCCCTCACTCCTGGTGAGTGGTGAGTCTGCCTCCCTGCTGGGCCCTCACTCCTGGTGAGTGGTGAGTCTGCCTGCCTGCTGGACCCTCACTCCTGGTGAGTGGTGAGTCTGCCTGCCTACAGGACCCTCACTCCTGGTGAGTAGTGAGTCTGCCTCCCTGCAGGACCCTCACTCCTGGTGAGTGGTGAGTCTGCCTCCCTGCAGGACCCTCACTCCTGGTGAGTGGTGAGTCTGCCTCCCTGCAGGACCCTCACTCCTGGTGAGTGGTGAGTCTGCCTGCCTACAGGACCCTCACTCCTGGTGAGTAGTGAGTCTGCCTCCCTGCAGGACCCTCACTCCTGGTGAGTGGTGAGTCTGCCTCCCTGCAGGACCCTCACTCCTGGTGAGTGGTGAGTCTGCCTCCCTGCAGGACCCTCACTCCTGGTGAGTGATGAGTCTGCCTCCCTGCAGGACCCTCACTCCTGGTGAGTGGTGAGTCTGCCTCCCTGCTGGGCCCTCACTCCTGGTGAGTGATGAGTCTGCCTGCCTGCTGGACCCTTACTCCTGGTGAGTGATGAGTCTGCCTGCCTGCTGGACCCTCACTCCTGGTGAGTGATGAGTCTGCCTGCCTGCTGGACCCTCACTCCTGGTGAGTAGTGAGTCTGCCTCCCTGCAGGACCCTCACTCCTGGTGAGTGGTGAGTCTGCCTCCCTGCTGGACCCTCCCTCCTGGTGAGTGGTGAGTCTGCCTCCCTGCAGGACCCTCACTCCTGGTGAGTGGTGAGTCTGCCTCCCTGCTGGACCCTCCCTCCTGGTGAGTAGTGAGTCTGCCTGCCTGCTGGACCCTCCCTCCTGGTGAGTAGTGAGTCTGCCTCCCTGCAGGACCCTCACTCCTGGTGAGCAGTGAGTCTGCGTCCCTGCAGAACCCTCACTCCTGGTGAATGGTGAGTCTGCCTGCCTGCAGAACCCTCACTCCTGGTGAGTGGTGAGTCTGCCTCCCTGCTGGACCCTCCCTCCTGGCTATGAAGGTTCTGGGTGTCCTCTTATACCTGTTTAAAGAATAGTGGTGATTAACCCTGTCGAGAGGACAGGGGGGGGGGGCGCTACCCCCTGCCTGGAGGACCAGGTAATCAGGTCTGGCATCCTGATTAGTCACTCTTGAACGTGGAGTAATGAATGATTATTATTGTACAAGTTAATCACCAAGCGTCTGCCCTCCCCCAGTGCTACAATGACACTGGCTTTGTGTTTCTCCCGATAATTACCTTAATCGCGAAGGGGGGGTAAATTTAGTAATAATATACAAGTAGGAATTATCAGGAGATAATTCATCAAATGAACTCAGTGTTCAGGATGAAATAAAGCAATAATTTACACAAGGAATGTTTTCATCCTCTACACAAGTGGAATGAAAATGGTAATATTTTCCAAGACATTAAACTATAGAGAAGTATAGTGAAGGATTGAAACCAAGCAACTTGTGCAGCATAACATATATTTTCATGGCGGGCAAGACACCAGAACACACAGCATGGACTATTTGTCACGCCTCTCCCCGGCCACGCCTCTCCCCTGCCACGCTTCTTCCCCGCCACGCTTCTTCCCCGCCACGCTTCTTCCCCGCCACGCTTCTTCCCCGCCACGCTTCTCCCCCGCCACGCTTCTCCCCCGCCACGCCTCTCCCCGGCCACGCCTCTCCCCTGCCACGCTTCTCCCCCGCCACGCTTCTCCCCCGCCACGCCTCTCCCCCGCCACGCCTCTCCCCCGCCACGCCTCTCCCCCGCCACGCCCCTCCCGCCACGCCTCTCCCCCGCCACGCCTCTCCCCCGCCACGCCTCTCCCCCGCCACGCCTCTCCCCCGCCACGCCCCTCCCGCTACGCCCCTCCCGCCACGCCCCTCCCGCCACGCCTCTCCCCCACCACGCCTCTCCCGCCACGCCCCTCCCACCACGCCCCTCCCGCCACGCCTCTCCCGCCACGCCTCTCCCGCCACGCCCCTCCCGCCACGCCTCTCCCGCCACGCCTCTCCCGCCACGCCTCTCCTGCCACGCCCCCCCCCCCCCCCCCCGCCACGCCTCAGCAACATCCCAGATCATGCATCGTGGTGTCACAGTTCCATGTTACCTTTTTACTGGACACACACACCAGCCTGAGACACAACACACACTCTACTCTCGCTCTCCCATATAAATCTCGAAAGAGGATTACATTCAATTGATATGTTAATTTTAATTGAGTATAACATTAACATAACATTAACATAATGTGATGATAAAGCACATCCCTGGGTATGACAAGACCGCTCCACATAAGACACACTGAACATAGTAACAAACTACCTCTCCATTAACAAACACCAAAGGTCAAGACGGCCCTTATAGCAAAGGCCGTTGAAAAGGCGTTCGACTCTATGGCACGACGGCCTAAGCTACAAACTCTGTACTCTAATCCAACTGACAACATGCAGCAGCTACTATGCTGCTTTCTAACAAACAGAAGGATGCAGATTAAACTCCTCAGCAAGCTGTCAGGATACTTCAACCTGAATGCAGTAGTCCCCCCAGGGCTCAGTTCTCTCACCGACCCTGTACATACTCTTTATAAACGACATTCCTGACCCAACATACTGGACCCTTTGCTATGCTGACGACGTGACTCAACTGATCTCATGATACACGATAGTCATCCTCACACGCAGAGCACAGGAAGAAAATTAAACTGCTTGTGAAAGCAGATAGATTTCTGTATAAAGGAAATACGCCTGCCTTCTTGGGTCGGCTGCGTGCGCATAGCATGGGGCACATATAAGCAGGCGCCCCGGCATGCTCTCTCCTGAGTACAAGAAACATCAAATGACTACACGAAGCATGAATAAATAGAAGAAGAAAGAAGAAAAAAGAAGCACGACATTGAAGATAGAAGCAAGAAGTAGAAGAAAGAAGAAGTAAGAAGATAGAAGAAAGAAGACACCACCTGAAGACAGACTATCTACCTTGAATGAAGAAGCACTGCCACTGCCGCCTTTCTGACCCGTCTCCCAGCCTAGCCAGATGTTGGGTTGTTTTCAGCATCGACTTAAGACAAGCAGCTGGGTCAAGCCCTGGCACTTTTCTCTTCAACTTCAGCGTTTTCCTCTCACCGACTTTTCTTCAGCGGTCCCCACTTGAAGGCTCGCCCCTTGGGCATCTTCTCCTGTATCATTCGATTCGATTCGATGCTCTCTTATTCTCTGTGGCTGCTCAACGCGCAAACAGCCCACCCTCCTCCCGGGAACTTGGGTTTCCCTTGTGCTCTCTCAGGGAGTGTTTGTAGCTACCATCCCTCTTGTCTTTGCAGTAAGTTCTGGAGGTGGTCCTTGTATCCTGTAGTGTTGCAGTTTACATCTCTTACCTGGGTTCTTTACTCAGTTTTAAGTTCCCTTTCACCTATTCGTTTTATTCTCTGCGACTCCTACCACGCAGGTTTATTTCCTCTCTTTAATGGCATTTTCTGCAATTTTATCTTTTACTTAATTGAGTTTTATTCTGGAATCTATATTTACCTCCCTTTAAACAAGGTAGTAGTTTTTGCTTCAGTACAATGCCCTTCTGCAATTGATACACATTTATTTTAATGCATTTCTTTTGGATTATTCCTGTTCGCATCAAGTATTACACACTTCTCTTGTGTAATAGCACCACCTTTGGGTTCCCTTTACACGGCAGTGTGTGGTGAGTCGTATCTTCTGTTTTGTGTTGTGTAGTGGCTACGTTTCTGTGAATTATGTCTAACCCAATTCTTTCCTTCATTTTGTGAGCCATAGAAAGGCAGTTTCTGTTGCAAAATTTGATTGGTATTGAGAGCTTTGCAGGATTGAACTCTTCATCAGTGTCAGTCCATTTTCTCTTTGATAATCTCTTCCACGTATTATTTAGCATATCCATTGTTAACAAGAATCTGCGTCAATCTGTTAGGATTCTCGTCATCCTGCTTCCAGCTGGAGGTTTGCGAAAAAGAAAGGTTGACGTAAGCGTCAACGGCATTTTCCTGATAGCAGTCAGGATACTCATCACTAACACTGGGCCATATTCATATGTTAGTTCCCATAGTACAGAGTGAAATGTGAAACCGACATTTCTTTTTGAGACTGTTACATCAAGAAAGGTAGCTTGCCTTCTTCCTTCTATGTCATAAGTAAAACTAAAGATGGAGTTTGGCTTGGAAGCTCCTTTTAACGGCACTGGCTTAGAGATACTTGCAGTAGATCAGTAGATCTTAAGTTTAAGTTCCAGGAGCAACTAGCACTTTCTCAAGGGGCTCAGGAAAGGTGCCTCTTTGGTGCATGTTTCGAGTAGTTACCTAACTGTGTTCTGGGATGTCAAGAGGAGAGCAAATTGGATCCATATAGACTTTATTCACGACAATGCCGAGAGTCTCATCCACGGACACCCAAGTGAACAGGTACTCAACGTTCACATAACATTTCATACTAGATTCATGAAAACTGAGCAGTGAACCGACAGATTACTTGGGAGACTTCAGGGTGACAGCGTACGGCAGGTAGGCAGTCAGCAGGATGTTGAGTCGCTTAGCCAGTCCGTATATAAATGTGCAACCCGTCCTCGACTCAAGTCCATTACATTCAGCGGTCAACCCCACAGACACATTCATAAATTTTAACATGCTGTTCATTCAAAACGGGAATTTTCGCAAGTATAAATTAATATTATAATATATTAGCATATTGTGCATATATAGGCATAGGATAGGTTAGGTTAGGTGTTTAGGTTCTGTTGGCGATTATTGGTATTTGTAGTACGTGGGTGAAGCATTTATAGCGTTGTGATTCGAACAAAATTCGTCAGTGAAGCACTTGTTCCGGAAGTGTTCGAACGTCAGCAGTTGTGAGTCTTGTGTAAACCGCTTTTCATTCATAAACAGGGGGGTTGGCGGGTGCATGGAATCACTTTTGGATCTTTGTTTGGAGGACGGGCTGAAATGTGGGTACCTGGAGGATGATCAAACGAAACGGGTTTCCAAGCATATGGATCTTGACAATCCCTTAGGCATGTATTCTCCAGTAACTTTCTTACGGTGGAATTAAGCTCTTTTGGCATTAACAGTTTCAGGCAATGTGTTTATCTCTTTCATTTCGGCAGTAGTATATCCCGTGATCGTTTGGAACTTAGTTTGATTACAGATGAGGACGTTCATCTGAACATCTGAATTCATACTTTTTTTATGCTGACTTATACTAGTGATTTGTGTAGAAGGCCCGTAGCTGCCAATTTGAGTTCGAGAGTCAATAGGTTCTTCTGTAGTTGCCGCGAGTATTTCCTCCCTCTATGGAAGCTCTGTAATGTACCATAAGTGGAGACTTTCTTGTGTCTGGTGGACGAACATTGAGACACTCACAATCTGGAACTGACTCAGTAATACTCAGAACTGTATAGAATATGAGAGGTGATGTGGGGAGGGGGGGGGGAATGTGTGGGTATACTCATGCCTCAACACCCACCAAATGCATCAAGAGTTTACTTAATATAATATATATTAAACACAATCTGACCTGACCAACACCACCCACGCAAAGTGTACACAAAAAATTATACATGGTCATGGCCTTCGTAATTTTTATATAGCATTTTTAATCTTAAGCCTAAGAATGTATTCTTCCTTGTGTATGTTCTTTTAGTTCCTTAAGATGTTGTTTTCATGTCTTTTTCATCGATATTTCTTTTGCTCTCCTCTGTTCCTCAAGCTTGGACAGAAGATTCAGAGCATTTTCAGCTTCTTTCAACCGAACTTTCAGCTCGTTCTCTGCACGTTTGACCTTCTCCAGCTCATTCTTCGTGGATTGGTGCTGCTTTAACGTCTCCTCGGCTTGTTTCACCCGCGCCTCCAGGGCCTTGTTCAGCTGCTTCGTATTCTCCAACTCCTTCAGCGATTCTTTTGTCTTATCCGCCTCCTGGAAAAAAAGGATACTTTCCTTAATCCCATGACGTATGTTATTGAGTTATAGCATATCCTGTTTCTTGAGACCTTCTTGACAAGCTTCGAGTCTCTCTAAGGTGCCGGGAAGCTCTAAAAAGGTCCCTGAGGAGCACACTGAGACCTTAACATTTACAGACCACACCCCCAACAAGGTCTCTCAGGGCCACACCCCCAACAAGGCCTCTCAGGACCACACCCCCAACAAGGTCTCTCAGGACCACACCCCCAACAAGGTCTCTCAGGGCCACACCCCCCCAACAAGGTCTCTCAGGGCCACACTCCCAACAAGGTCTCTCAGGGCCACACCCCCAACAAGGTCTCTCAGGGCCACACACCCAACAAGGTCTCTCAGGGCCACACCCCCAACAAGGTCTCTCAGGGCCACACTCCCAACAAGGTCTCTCAGGGCCACACCCCCAACAAGGTCTCTCAGGGCCACACTCCCAACAAGGTCTCTCAGGGCCACACCCCCAACAAGGTCTCTCAGGACCACACCCCCAACAAGTTCTCTCAGGACCACACCCCCAACAAGGCCTCTCAGGACCACACCCCCAACAAGGCCTCTCAGGACCACACCCCCAACAAGGTCTCTCAGGGCCACACCCCCCCAACAAGGTCTCTCAGGGCCACACTCCCAACAAGGTCTCTCAGGGCCACACCCCCAACAAGGTCTCTCAGGGCCACACTCCCAACAAGGTCTCTCAGGGCCACACCCCAACAAGGTCTCTCAGGGCCACACCCCCAACAAGGTCTCTCAGGGCCACACCCCCAACAAGGCCTCTCAGGGCCACACTCACCTTGACCTTGGCCTCAGCTTGAGCCAGCCGGCCGGTGGTGTTGTGAAGAGACTCCTGACACCCCTGTAGCTCACTCTCCCTGTAATGATTCACACAACTGTTAATGCCTGCAATGTGTTATTGTGTGGTGGTGGTGTACTGTGTGGTGGTGGTGTACTGTGTGGTGGTGGTGTACTGTGTGGTGGTGGTGTACTGTGTGGAGGTGGTGTACTGTGTGGTGGTGGTGTACTGTGTGGAGGTGGTGTACTGTGTGGAGGTGGTGTACTGTGTGGAGGTGGTGTACTGTGTGGAGGTGGTGTACTGTGTGGAGGTGGTGTACTGTGTGGTGGTGGTGTACTGTGTGGTGGTGGTGTACTGTGTGGTGGTGGTGTACTGTGTGGTGGTGGTGTACTGTGTGGTGGTGGTGTACTGTGTGGTGGTGGTGTACTGTGTGGAGGTGGTGTACTGTGTGGTGGTGGTGTACTGTGTGGTGGTGGTGTACTGTGTGGTGGTGGTGTACTGTGTGGAGGTGGTGTACTGTGTGGTGGTGGTGTACTGTGTGGTGGTGGTGTACTGTGTGGTGGTGGTGTACTGTGTGGTGGTGGTGTACTGTGTGGTGGTGGTGTACTGTGTGGAGGTGGTGTACTGTGTGGTGGTGGTGGTGTGGTGGTGGTGTACTGTGTGGTGGTGGTGTACTGTGTGGTGGTGGTGTACTGTGTGGTGGTGGTGTACTGTGTGGTGGTGGTGTACTGTGTGGTGGTGGTGTACTGTGTGGTGGTGGTGTACTGTGTGGTGGTGGTGTACTGTGTGGTGGTGGTGTACTGTGTGGTGGTGTACTGTGTGGTGGTGGTATACTGTGTGGTGGTGGTGTACTGTGTGGTGGTGGTGTACTGTGTGGTGGTGGTGTACTGTGTGGTGGTGGTGTACTGTGTGGTGGTGTGTACTGTGTGGTGGTGGTGTACTGTGTGGTGGTGGTGTACTGTGTGGTGGTGGTGTACTGTGTGGTGGTGGTGTACTGTGTGGTGGTGGTGTACTGTGTGGTGGTGGTGTACTGTGTGGTGGTGGTGTACTGTGTGGTGGTGGTGTACTGTGTGGTGGTGGTGTACTGTGTGGTGGTGGTGTACTGTGTGGTGGTGGTGTACTGTGTGGTGGTGGTGTACTGTGTGGTGGTGGTGTACTGTGTGGTGGTGGTGTACTGTGTGGTGGTGGTGTACTGTGTGGTGGTGGTGTACTGTGTGGTGGTGGTGTACTGTGTGGTGGTGGTGTACTGTGTGGTGGTGGTGTACTGTGTGGTGGTGGTGTACTGTGTGGTGGTGGTGTACTGTGTGGTGGTGGTGTACTGTGTGGTGGTGGTGTACTGTGTGGTGGTGGTGTACTGTGTGGTGGTGTGTACTGTGTGGTGGTGGTGTACTGTGTGGTGGTGGTGTACTGTGTGGTGGTGTACTGTGTGGTGGTGGTGTACTGTGTGGTGGTGGTGTACTGTGTGGTGGTGGTGTACTGTGTGGTGGTGGTGTACTGTGTGGTGGTGGTGTACTGTGTGGTGGTGGTGTACTGTGTGGTGGTGGTGTACTGTGTGGTGGTGGTGTACTGTGTGGTGGTGGTGTACTGTGTGGTGGTGGTGTACTGTGTGGTGGTGGTGTACTGTGTGGTGGTGGTGTACTGTGTGGTGGTGTACTGTGTGGTGGTGGTGTACTGTGTGGTGGTGGTGTACTGTGTGGTGGTGGTGTACTGTGTGGTGGTGGTGTACTGTGTGGTGGTGGTGTACTGTGTGGTGGTGGTGTACTGTGTGGTGGTGTACTGTGTGGTGGTGGTGTACTGTGTGGTGGTGGTGTACTGTGTGGTGGTGGTGTACTGTGTGGTGGTGGTGTACTGTGTGGTGGTGGTGTACTGTGTGGTGGTGGTGTACTGTGTGGTGGTGGTGTACTGTGTGGTGGTGGTACTGTGTGGTGGTGGTGTACTGTGTGGTGGTGGTGTACTGTGTGGAGGTGGTGTACTGTGTGGAGGTGGTGTACTGTGTGGAGGTGGTGTACTGTGTGGTGGTGGTGTACTGTGTGGTGGTGGTGTACTGTGTGGTGGTGGTGTACTGTGTGGAGGTGGTGTACTGTGTGGTGGTGGTGTACTGTGTGGTGGTGGTGTACTGTGTGGAGGTGGTGTACTGTGTGGAGGTGGTGTACTGTGTGGTGGTGGTGTACTGTGTGGAGGTAGTGTACTGTGTGGTGGTGGTGTACTGTGTGGTGGTGGTGTACTGTGTGGTGGTGGTGTACTGAGTGTATGTGGCACCGTGACAGCTCACAGTGATAATAATTAACTAGTCACTCGACTGCTAATGAAAGTAAAGTGACTTCAGGAATAAACTGTCTTCAGTCGTTTCTTGCCTGAAAAGCTGTGCGTATTAGTGGCTTTAGGCATAGTATGTACCAGCTCTAGCTAGAACACCAACATTCCGTTTTTAACTCATTTTTTATGTATGTACTTTTTATCTGATTTAACATTATTATTATTATTATTATTATTATTATTATTATACTTTGGTCTCTACTAAATGGCTTCTCTGACAGGTCTGTATTCTTATCTTTCTAAGATACTTACATTAAGGTCAACCAAACCAAAGTCTGCAGTATTCGAAGACGGATATATACATCACAAAAAATATATTAGAAACTACACAAACGAAGAATTCATGATGGAGGATTTTCATCAGTGTCAAATATGCACTTAAAACGGAATATTCCTCTGCGAACAAAGCGATGGCTATCGTAGGGTAGATAAAGATAGACTATTTAACACAAGGGGCACACGCACAAGAGGACACAGGAGGAAATTGAGTGCCCAAATGAGCCATAGAGATATTGGAAAGAACCATTTTAGTGTCAGAGTAGTTGACAAATGGAATGCATTAGGCAGTGATGTGGTGGAGGCTGACTCCATACACAGTTTCAAGTGTAGATATAATAGAGCCCAGTAGGCTCAGGAACCTGTACATCAGTTGATTAACAGTTGAGAAGTGGGACCAAAGAATCAAAGCTCAACCCCCGCAAGCCCAAATAGGGGAGTACAAATAGATGAGTACACACACACACACACACCGACATGAATACAACTAGATGAATACACATACACACACACACACACACACACGGAACCTAGCAAAAAAGGCTTACGGGGGTTGTAGTCATAAGGGCCCCTGGTTCGATTCCCGGCCGAGGCACAAACACATGAGCAGAGTTTCTTTCACGTGATGAGGTACCTGAGAGTTAGACGGCTATACTATAGGACTCTTCATTATTATTGAATGTGTGAGAGACAGAAATACACGAAGTTGATATGATAAAGGAAAAAAAAAACCGGGTGTCGGTACATTAGACAACCGACGGTTAAAAGGGCACCGAGTCCATAGCTAAAAGCTCGACCCTATAGGCAGGACGAGCACACACAGGGACACCGACCTTTGGACCAGGCGCTTGTGGATGCTCTTGGTGTTTACGTCAGACGCCATCTTGAGGTTCATGGTGTTGATGATGAGGACGACCACCGTCATGCCCATCACCGCGCAGCTCAACATGGACAGAGACGGCTCCATCTTCACTCTCAGTCTGGCTCCTCACCGCCGGCCTGCTGCCCACCTCCACTGTCTCCCACCACCACTGCCTCGATCCCACCTCTACTGCCTCGATCCCACCTCTACTGCCTCGATCCCACCTCCACTGCCTCGATCCCACCTCCACTGCCTCGATCCCACCTCCACTGCCTCGATCCCACCTCCACTGCCTCGATCCCACCTCCACTGCCTCGATCCCACCTCCACTGCCTCGATCCCACCTCCACTGCCTCGATCCCACCTCCACTGCCTCGATCCCACCTCCACTGCCTCCACACGTGACGATAACTGGTGGGAGGAAGAATGAGGTAATTAGTGAGCTCATGCAGAAAGAGATACAGTTGACATACACCATTACAGACCAATATTGAACCATTATTATAACAAGTAACTGACATGATTATAGATAAACAGCGGTACAATTCAACATATTAAGATCCAGCCAGTTCGGATTTAGATGGGAAAAGTTCCAGTGATGGTACTGTTATCTTTCTGTAGGAAGATGATCTGACTTGTCTTGACTCCCTCTAGGATCTTTCCTCTCCCTCTCGTCACTAGATTTATTTTCTCTTCGTCATTTCGCTTCTTGCAGGTTTCATTTCTTTATTTTTTGTCTTTTTATTTGTCATTTTTTTATCTAATTTATACTTTTTCCTTTTGTCTTACTTCTAAGTCTTCCTTTACCTGATTCTCTTTATTCTTAATTTTTCTCTTATCCTTATTTTTCATCTTATTCTTACCTTCTTATTATCTTCATGTTTCTCTTCTTCACTCTCATGCTTAATGTTGTTTTCTATTCCACTGTCTTTCCATTATACAACTTGATAATGGTCGAGAGCGGATCAAAACGTCGTCTCTTCACCTTCAGATGTGCGGGTTGTGTAGGAACTCTTCAACCACGCTATTGTCACTCATCATCTGCACATGCTATTATTAGTTTGCTTGAGGAGCCCTTGGCAAGACTGAGTTCCCAACTGACCTCTTTAGTGTACTAAGCAAACTCTTTGATGCCGTAAATAACAAAAACCATCCCACTTAAACTTTATCACTACAGCATTAGAGGCCTTACTCTAAATTATATCCGCACATATTACACCAACAGCTTCTAATACGTATTGATGAATGACACAGCCTCTCCCACTCTTCCATTAACTACAGGGCAACCTTTCATGACCTATACTATTTCAGCATCAATGATTTGCCAAATGCCTCTAACCTTAGGCCTATACTATAGGGTCCCGGTAGAACAGTCGGGTTCGTTCTCAACTCACAGTGACAGCGGTCACAACACATGCCATGTGAGTAACACAAATTTGAGTTACTCACGTAGCCCCAACAGCGAGGTGACGCGATGAAATATATGTACCCTACAATTGACCATAGAGTGCTGTCGGGAGGTTGGGTTAAAAGTCTCACGACTTCCAAGCTTTTTTGTACAGTCAGTATGGTTTAGTTGGTATAGTACTGGATATCCTGGGGTTCATGGAGCTCTGGCTGTCTGGGTTCGAATCTTTCTGGAGTGAGGGGAGATACATATTATATATATCATGGTGTATGGATTACACCATTACTCTCTCTTGATGACCTACAATGGAAACAAACCTCTCTTCCCGTAAGACTTGGGGGCCTCGGAGTTCGAACAGCAACTCAAATCGCTGTACCATCCTTCCTGTCCTCCTCCTCGGCATCCGACGACCTTGTGTAGGAAATTCTACCTGCCTACTTAAATCATCTGGCAGGTGTGAACGATCCCAATTTAACACGCTGTGCCAGCGAGTGGGCCTCTCGTTGCAGGCCCATCACCTCAACCACCATCCTTAAAAGCCCACAAGCAATCCAGCTGGGATGGCCCCATTGTAGACCAAGTTGCTGCAGAGTGCCTGGATGCTGCTACAATACAACGCGACATTGCTCGCCTCACAGCAGTAGCAGCCCCACATGCAGGGGATGTCCTGTTAGCAACCCCAATGTCGGCAACTGGCACACGTCTCACACCACACGCCCTCCGCCTTGCTGCCCCAATCCACACCAAATATAGGTGTATTTGCTGCGAAGTGGTGGCCGACAGGTACGGCCACTATGGCCTACTCTGCCAAAGCACAGGGGGATGGCACTCGAGGCACAGTGAAGTTAACGACATCATCAAGAGGAGCCTCACCACAGCTGGATGTCCAGCTGAAAGAGAGCCCCGTTACCTAACGTTCCGTAACTCTGATGCTCACAAGGTGAGTTGTACTCACCTAGTTGTGCTTGAGGGGGGTGAGTTGTACTCGCCTAGTTGTACTTGCTGGGGTTGAGCTCTGGCTCTTTGGTCCCGCCTCTCAACAGGTGTACAGGTTCCTGAGCCTATTGGGCTCTATCATATCTACACTTGAAACTGTGTATGGAGTCAGCCTCCACCACATCACTGCCTAATGCATTCCATTTGTCAAGCGCTCAGTCTCCAGAGCTGCACTTGTATTATACACAACATTGGTACACCTCAGTTTGTCAGAGGCGGCAGAGATGTTATTTCTCATAGTGAGGCCTGATTATCATGAGTCAGATGGCGGCCCAGCTTCTTACTAACGATTTCGTCGAATTCTGTATTTCTGTAATCATTGTTCACAACAATTTGGCGGATACGTTCAAGTTCGTGTTTCAAGAGCTCCCAAGAAGTGCATGTACGTATTGCACGACGTACTTATGCATTGATGACGCTTCTCTTACACCTGTCAGTGCATTCACTCTTACCGTGCATACATTCACTCTTACCGTTCATACATTTTCTTACGTTCATACATACATTTTCTTATGTTCATACATACATTTTCGTACGTTTCTAGCTGTGCAACATATTTGCATTTTTACGGAGTGAAAATCGAGAGAACGGCTGTTTGTCCCAGCACAACCCGTTCTCGCAAATTTAATAAGTCAATATTGACTTATTAGTTGCGTGCATAGGTGACATACTAAACATAATAGTTTCCCTTGAAAAGCTTCATAGAAAACACCGACCTTACCTAACCTACTTAGTATGTTAAAATAAGCATCTTATAGCTTCGTAATTACAATTGTTACTTAACCTATTATAGGTATAGGTTAGGTAATAATTGTAATTACGAAGCAATAAGATGCTTATCTTAACATACTAAGTAGGTTAGGTAAGGTCGGTGTTTTCTATGAAGCATTTCAAGGGAAACTATTATGTTAAGTATGTCACCTATGCACATATTTAATAAGTCAATATTGACTTATTAAATTTGCGAGAACGGGTTGCCCAGCAGGAGAAGGAACTGGCTGAAACCACTTACCTGGGGAAGCAGAGTCCCAGCGGCGAGGCGGTGTCGGGGCGTACTGCTGTGTACACAGATGTTGGCTCTTAAGTAGCGACGACCAGATGTTCCTCACATCTGTTGATGCTGATCAACAATGTTTAGTAGCTGCCACGCATGTGTTTATCTGATAGTGGTTACAGACGGGGAGGGGAGTTGAGGGGTCGTCGGGGTGCTGTGCGGGCCTCACCGCTATCTCCACATTCGTCTAATCTCACACTATGTAAACACGAATTCACGAACATATCTCATCCCAACACATCGCAGACGCTTGTAATTACCTAAGTGTAGTTACAGGATGAGAGCTACGCTCGTGGTGTCCCGTCTTCCCAGCACTCTTTGTCATATAACGCTTTGAAACTACTGACGGTCTTGGCCTCCACCACCTTCTCCCCTAACTTGTTCCAACCGTCTACCACTCTGCTTGCGAAAGTGAATTTTCTTATATTTCTTTGGCATCTGTGTTTAGCTAGTTTAAATCTATGACCTCTTGTTCTTAAAGTTCCAGGTCTCAGGAAATCTTCCCTATCGATTTTATCAATTCCTGTTACTATTTTGTATGTAGTGATCATATCACCTCTTTTTCTTCTGTCTTCTAGTTTTGGCATATTTAATGCCTCTAACCTCTCCTCGTAGCTCTTGCCCTTCAGTTCTGGGAGTCAGAACTGAAGGGCAAGAGCTACGAGGAGAGGTTAGAGGCATTAAATATGCCTCTAATTTGGGGTGTGTGTGTGTGTGGGGTGTGTGTGTGTGTGGGGTGTGTGTGTGTGTGGGGTGTGTGTGTGTGTGGGGTGTGTGTGTGTGTGGGGTGTGTGTGTGTGTGGGGTGTGTGTGTGTGTGGGGTGTGTGTGTGTGTGGGGTGTGTGTGTGTGTGGGGTGTGTGTGTGTGTGGGGTGTGTGTGTGTGTGTGGGTGTGTGTGTGTGTGGGGTGTGTGTGTGGGGTGTGTGTGTGTGTGTGGGGTGTGTGTGGTGTGTGTGGTGTGTGTGTGTGTGGGGTGTGTGTGTGTGGGGTGTGCGTGTGTGGGGGGTGTGTGTGTGTGGGGTGTGTGTGTGTGGGGTGTGTGTTTGTGTGGGGTGTGTGTGTGTGTGGGGTGTGGGGTGTGTGTGTGTGGGGTGTGTATTTGTGTGGGGTGTGTATTTGTGTGGGGTGTGTGTGTGTGTGGGGTGTGTGTGTGTGTGGGGTGTGTGTGTGTGTGGGGTGTGTGTGTGTGTGGGGTGTGTGTGTGTGTGGGGTGTGTGTGTGTGGGGTGTGTGTGGGGTGTGTATTTGTGTGGGGTGTGTGTGTGTGTGGGGTGTGGGGTGTGTGTGTGTGTGTGTGTGTGGGGTGTGTGTGTGGGGTGTGTGTGTGTGGTGTGTGTGTGTGTGTGTGGTGTGTGTGTGTGGTGTGTGTGTGTGTGTGTGTGTGTGTGTGTGTGTGTGTGTGTATTCACCTAGTTGTGCTTGCGGAAGTTGAGCTCTGCTCTTTCGGCCCGCCTGTCAACTGTCAATCAACTGTTACTAACTACTAATTTTTTTCTCACACACACACACACACACACACACACACACACACACACACACACACACACACACACACACACACACACACACACACGCGCGCGCGCACACACGCACACGCGAGCCTAGCTCTCATCCTGTAACTACACTTAGGTAATTACACACACACAGGAAGCAGCCCGTAACAGCTGTCTAACTCCCAGGTATCTATGTACGGCTAGGTAACAGGGGCATCAGGGTGAAAGAAACTCTGCCCACTTGTTTTCTGCCAGTGCCGGGGATCGAACCCGGACCCTAGAATTACGAGTTCCAAGCGCTGTCCATTCAGCCACAGGCCCCATTGTGTGTGTGTGTGTGTGTGTGTGTGTGTACTTACCTACTTGTACTTGCGGGGGTTGAGCTCTGGCTCTTTGGTCCCGCCCATTCAATCGTATATCAACTGATATACAGATTCCTGAGCTTACTGGGTTCTATCATATCTACATTTGAAATTGTGTATGGAGTCAGCCTCCACCACATCACTGCCTAATGCATTCCACCTGTTAACTACTCTGAAAAAGTTCTTTCTAATGTCCCTGTGGCTCATTTGGGTACTCATTCTCCACCTGTGTCCCCTTGTTCGCGTACCATCCGTGTTAAACAATTTATCCTTATCTACCCTGCCTCTTCCATTGTGTTTCCTTGTCGTAGTGAGGGGGCTCACGTACACCTACCTCTCTGGGTCCGGTGAGGGTTGCCCCTGCCCCTGTCCCTCTTTGGGTGGTGTACATGCGAATGAACACAAACGTAGGGGTCTTGTGAGCCACGGACCACCCGCTGGAGGGGTCGCCCATAAGTGACTGTTCTAAGTGGATGGCTAGGTGTCCAGGCTGGGGCGAAAGGGAGAATGAGGTTTTTACACGAGTATAGGAGAATGGACGAAGCAGTAGGACTCTCCTGTTAAAAAGGGGAAGCACCGCTAGAGATGACGCACCCCTTCCTGTACTGGCCCGCGGTCAGCTTCCCTGGCTGCCCTGGTAGGTGGTATTCCTTGGTTCCAGGCCTCAGACTTTTTAAAATACATGATATATGGATACTGACACGTCCTCTCTTAGCTAGGCTCATGGGGTGGGCGACCAGGCCCCTAAATCGAAGTGTGATAGAAGACCGGGCTCTGTAGCCCCCACTACATTTAGCCTAGACCGGACTACTCCCCTTCCTCCTCTGTGGCAGGGTTGAGTCCCAAGCCCCCAGTGATGACCACCTCGTCCCCTAGCACGGCTCCGTCTCTCATTGTGACTACTGTGCCTTTTAACTCCTCTCTCTCTGGGGGTTCTCAACGCTGTCCCTGCCACGGCCACACTCACACGATCCCTTCCATACTAATACGTACCCCGCCTTGTTTGGTCCTGCTACATGAGATAAATATTTTGATCTCCACCATCTGGATTCTACTCCTGACGATTTCTCCCTACATAAACACCCTGTTGATTCGGTAGATGCCTCTGTTACTTTTAACCCCACCCGTCTCGGTACACGTGTCGTCGCTGCTCCTTCTCTGGATGCAGCTACCCGTTTAGCCGCATTGTCCTGCATTGGGGAGACCCCTGTTCGGGTCTCCAAAAACGCCCAGTTAAATGACAGTGTTGGCACTGTTCTCCTCCAGCACCATGTTGCAACTGGTGTTAGGGACCTAAATGATTGCCATGAGGATATTTAGCTTATCCTTGAAGCTCAAGGCCATCCTGCCTTCCAGGTGGACACGTTCACTCGACCCCCCTCGTGGTCGTCGCCGTCTACCCCTTCGAGTTGTGAAAATCACCTTTGATAGTAGGACCCTTCTGCCCTCTTGCTGGTGCCAGATGCTCCATTCAGGAATACATTCCCTCTCCTAGACTTTGCAATAAGTGCTGGAAGTTCGGACATGGTGCCCTCAAATGCACCAGTACTGTATATCTATGCTCCATGTGTGGGGACGATGATCACTCTAAGTCCGAGTGCACTTCAACCCAGGCTCGCTGCCTCGATTGCAGTGAGGCCCACCCTACCTTCTCCCGCGCGTGTATACACTATAAACTTGAGGAACCCGTCCTCAACTTGAAACACTAGGGTCGTCTGTCATTTCCTGAAACGAGACGCCAAGTTCGCCGCCTCGCCCCTTTTGCTGGCGTATCCTATGCTCGCAAGTTGCGTTCTACCTCACCTCGTCCTTCCCACCGAGGGAAGGACAACTTACTCAGTCTCACAACCGTTTCCAGGCCTTAGACCTGGACACACCCACCACCTCCTCCCCTGTTCCTTTACGTTCTGTCCCGAAGGGGCCCTCTCCTGGTTCTCCATCTGGAGTTCCCCCCCCCCCTTCCTACCCAGTTTGCCATGTTTCCTGTGTCTTCTTTCCCCGATCCTTCTTCCCATTCCTCCCCCCCCCCCAGTCTCTTGGCCCTCCATGCTGCTTGTCTGTCCAGGCTGATGTCCATCACCTCCCAGCATTCTTCATGTTGTTTATTCCCGTTCATCTTCTCCTGTTGAGACAACTGAGTCTGTCGCCCAGTACGTTGTTGCTGGAACACCTGTCTCTGAGTCAGAAACGTAAGCCTGGCTCCTCTCCTTCGTCCTCCTCGGCAGGTAAGAATGCATCGCTTTCTTCCTCCCCCCCCCCCCCCCCTCTGACTCTCTCGCTCCGTCCCCTCCCATTTCGGTGGTCGGACCCCCTGTTCCAGGTATGGAGGTTACTTTAGCCCCTGATTCCCTCTCGGTTGCTGTCCTTGCTGAGATGCGCTCCTCGGTTTCTATCCCTCCTCCTCCTGCTGTCCTTGACAGCACCTCTCGGTTGTCTCCTCCTCCGGACTCCATCGGCCTCTGGTCTGTCCTCCCGCTCCCTTCACTCCATCCTTACTCAGTTTACCCATGCCCCGTAACCCTGACTTCGCTGACCCTGATCCTGAGCTTATTTAATATGCTGTGTTCTTCTTTACCTTTGTTTCTTCATTGTTCTCTGTTGCTGTCCCTTCTCTTTTTTGCCAATGTCTATTCTTCAATGGAATTATTCGTGGATTTTATGCCAACTTCCATGAACTCCAACTTCTGATTAAACAGTTTTCACCACTTGGTGTGTGTCTCCAGGAGCCGATGCTTGGTGCTCGTCCTGGTCGCTTTCGTGGTTATTCCTTTCTTCCTCCCCCCCCCCCAGCTTTTGCTCGGGCTCATAACTCTACTTCTCTCTTGATTCGTTCTGATATTCCCTTTGTCCCCCGACTTTTTCAATCGCCTATCCAATATTCTGCTGCCCGTGTCTTTGTGAGTAAATGGTATACGGTTTGTTTCACTTATTTCCCCCCAAATGCCCCACATTCTCTTCCTGATTTTAAGCACCTACTAAACTCCTTGCCAGAGCCAGTGCTCCTGTTGGGTGATTTCAACTGTCGACATACCCTCTGGGGTGATGTTCTGACAAACACCTGAGGCCGCCTTCTCGAACCGTTTGTCCTCTCTTCTTCCCTGTCTCTTCTGAATTCTGGCGAGCCCACCCATGTGAACTCT